TATATATATATATATATATACACTATGTTTTCTTCTGATTCTGTTGTCATCTTATTACCTCAGCCTCATCAGCAGCTGGGACTGTGGGTGCGCACCTCTCTACCATCTGGGTCACCCATGTGGCCTCAGCATGCATGGCTCAGCATGCACCCCCATGGCCAGGGTACACCCCTGTGGCTTGGCTGATATATCTTATATGTCCACAAGTGGTGTCAAGATTAATTTTATCAGAATATACTATTGCTTTATATTATTCCTCTGTCAGCAAGCTATTGTTTTTATGTGGTCCTTTATAGTACGGGGATTGTTCTAGAATTGTACTCTCCTGTATAAAAGGGGATTCAGCCTCAATGCAGGGTTCCTGTGTGGGAAGACTAAACTGTAATAGTTATCAGACTGTTTTCTCCATGCTGAGTGCCATAACCACATATCTGAGCTGTCATAACAAAGCAAGAACAAGATAAGAATCAAGATAAGATGTGAATCAATCCCTTATCACTGCCGAGTTGTTTGAAGGCTGTTGGTTTGGGCTGGCAAGGCTGTGCTCATGGGAGAGGGAAGGGTAGCAGACTCATATTCCCAACCTGAGAGACTTCTTCCCTCATCACCAGGCATGACACTCAGCAGTTAGGGCAGACGCCACCACCCACACTGTGACAACCCCTGTCACTTGTTGCCTACTCAGGTTATTCGCCAGTCACCCCTGGTTCCCCTGCATCTGCCTAATATTTCTTCACCCTTCTATTTCTCCCACCTGTTTTACTTTTACCCACATCTTTATCCTCTTAGTTCTTGCTGCACAGAACCATGGCTATGCCAGGGGAGAGAAAAGGGAGCAGGTTCTCAAGAGTAACTTTGTGAATGATGAGGCACAGAGCATGGTGGTGCGTGGGGCGTTTTCACACACGGGCAGGCCTGGGGATGGAAAGTCTTGGGCTCCATCACTCCAGCCTGCCAGAGATACAGCACTGATCTATCTTGGGGATTGCATCAGCAGTTTTTATAAAAAAAATATTAAAATGTTCTGACCAGCAGATCAATACCTTCTTCAGCTTCTCTTATCCCTCCTCTCACTTAGAGGCTAATTGTTAAAAGTTTAAAAATCCTTTAACAGACATTCCAGAAACTCTAGACTTTGGAAAACTCACAGAGCAAGCATTTTTTTTTTTTAAACAAATAAATTTCAAGGGAAGAAATTGAAGTGAAAAACAGTGAAGAGACAGATCAATCAACTGAAATGTGTAGACATTTATTTGGATCTTCATTAAAATAAATATACTGTTAGCCCAGCGGCAGTGGTGGTGTGGTAGGATGCTATGTGATGCTAGAGCCCAGTGGGAAGGTTCTAGGTTTGGATCCTGGATCAGTCTGGACATGTGGGTGTGCTCAAGATGCACTAGGATTCTGGCTGACTCGAAGTTCTGGGGAAGGATTGTGGCATGGCAAGACCCTGCAAAGGCAGGTATCTTTTTGTGTCTCTTATGAAATAAATAAACTTTAAAAAGCCCCAAATGTACTGTTAGGAAAGCATTTAATTTATGAGATAATTGGAAATTTGAACACTGGTTGAAAATTAAATTTTAAGTAATGATTATCAGGTCAGCCAGTGGTGCGGTGCTTAAGATGGCTGGATCCCATGTGGCCAACTGCACAGGTCTAGTCACAGGCCCAGAGTCTTAATAAACAGGCCAGGCCTGTGTGCGTGCACGCCCAAAATCCTGAAAGGAGGGAGAACTGGAGAAGTGATTGTGGTGTGACCATTTCTCATGGACAGTGCTTTCTCTTCTTCTGCGTAGACACGCAGAAGTGCACATGCACTCCAATGAGTGCACATGCCTGGCAAAATTAAAAAAATATATATATTAAGTGTTCACGTGGGAGAGTGCTATTATGACTGTATTTAAAATGAGCCCTTTCAGAGACATATACTAAGATATTTATGGATAAAGTAAGAAAATATTTGGAAAGGGCTTTGAAGAAATATACTAGAAGGAAGTGGGTGGGGGTCTAGATGAAACAAAATTGTCTGGGAACTGATAGTTATAAAATTGGGGTAAAGAAAGCATGGAGGTTTGTACTACTATATTGTCTCCCTTTGCACATGTTTGAAGTTTTCCATAAGGAAAAAGAAAGAAGGGTCTTTGTATCTCTGGACAATTTGTAGAAAGAGTCCCGAACAACTCACTGTTAATGCAATTCAAAACTCTGTCCATTCCACTTTGCATAATATCTCCAAACGAGGTCTCTAGCATAAAGAAGCTTCCAGGTCTGAAGAACACAGCACATATTGTGGGGTGGATTTTTAATTTTACACAAAATATGTGTTGGCCTGGAGCCTGTTCTTTTTAGGCTTAGCGCTTGCAAGAGATCATTCAGGACTTTTTTTCCTCCCCTTTGTGGCTGATCCTCACTCTTCAGTGCCTTGGAAGTGGGATTCTGCCACAAGACGACCCCCTTGTATATAGAGCAGCTTTGGTTCTGAATATTTTAGACAAAGAGTAACTGGAAAAAATGGAATTGCATAGGATTTTTGCCCACAAATACAATAGTAGCTAAATCTATATGAATATCAGGTGGCAGGCTGAATATATTTATGAAATTACTATAATTATGGAAAGATACAATCTTTATACCATTTTTTTTTTTTTTTGAGACAAGACAATGGAGGGTTGGAGAGTTTGCGTAACTTCTCCAAGGTCATAGAAGGAGTAACTAGGGTACAGACGGGGCTTGAAACTTCCACTGCTTGACCTCAAAGTCTGAACTCTTCTGTGAATTCCATATTCTTTGGTACTTCAGTTTATGGCAGGTTTAATTAAATTTAGATCCTTTTGAAATATGTATATTTAGGCAAAGACAAGAAAAGAAGGGAGTGTTAAAACAAAACAAAGCAACAATGCCAAAGCGCTAGAGACATGGATAGGTTTGCTGGAACTTAAAGGCTTATGGGGCTGGACTGAATGAAGTGGTTGCCATGCTGGGACTGACCTTCCAAGAAACCTTCTGGAGTCTTCCTCAGAGGTCCTCACAATGGTATCTGGTATATTTTCTTTTCTTTCTTGGCCACTGAAGGCAGGGAAGAGGGAAGAGATGGGTTTCCTTGAGCCACAGGGTTTGGCAGACTTGGTGATGACACGAGACCTTGTTTTCCATGGGTCCTGTTACATTGCTGTTGGCAGAACACTGGGAGGTGCTCAGAGTCGAAGCAGAATGTCAGTGTGTGGCCGTGTCCCGGCAAGAGACAGTGGCCAGCGTGAGTTCTGTGAAGTGTGCCAGTGTCTCCTTGGTTTGCTTCATCTTCTTGCTGGTTTGGACAACATAAGGCCTGGGAAACACTAAATGACCATCATGGTGGAGGCAGTGGGGGGCAGGGAGTTGTTGTAAGGAAAATAAAGACACACGACTGAGAATTGTTTAGTGACATCCCATGCTAGAAAATTCTATAAGGCTCATTTTATAGAGCTCCAAGTATGCTCATTAGTTTTGAAACATCCCAAGGGACCTGCT